AGAGACCCCCCCCCCCCCGCACGTTACAGAAGTGAGATGCCCCCTCCTCCCCCTTCACTCCACGCTCACAGACTCCCGGCGACTGATTTCTTGGCCTCTGAAGTGTCACAAAAATATCTCTGAGCCTCTCACACGAGAGGCCTTTTTGTACAAAAGTTTTGTGGAATGAATTCCCGAAAGAAGCCCCGGCAGCGCTGGCCCTGCCTGTGGGACTCCCCAGGGAAGCGCCCAGCTGAGCCACTGCCTAAGCCCCGCTGGCTGGCCACTCCCCACCACGGGCGTCACTGGCCAGGGCCACGGCAGGGCTACAGTTCACCCAGCCCACCAGGGGGGGCGCTACCCTCATCCCAGCCTACAGGAAAGGAGGACTGCTGGGGAAACGACACCTATGGGCAAGGTGCCCCCCCCCCTTGACCCTTCTTGCTCTGAAGTGGGCAGAATACAGGATGTGGGGCTCCCCCCCAACTCCCCTCCTCCTCCTGCCACCAGCCAGCCAGCCACTACGGGAGCCCCAGCTGGACAAGCAGGCTTTGCTCACAGGGGCCTGGGGCCACAACAGGAAAGGTCCTGCAGGCGACTGCTCTTCCTCTGCCAGGCCCCTGGTGGTCCACAAGGAGACCCAGGCCAGAAGCGCCCGGCTTCTCTCTCTCTCTCTCTCTCTCGGGCCACCTGGGCTAGGACGTTGGGTGGGGAGGGCTGCGCAGGGGGTCTCGGGCTCTTGCCAGTGGAGCCGCTTTTGAAGGCAAGGGGACTCGGGGAGTTCAAGTCTTCGGAGCAACCAGTAACGCAACCTAGATTTTGTCCTAAAAGCTGAGATGGAGAGGAAAAATGGGAGTGCTTGAAATAAATAGCCCACAGCTGGCTGGGTCCCTCTGACATAGGCAAGATGTTCTTCTTAAGGAGACACACCATGCAAGGATTAAATTAGGCTCAACAGTTAAATTAATATAAACGGAGGACTAAAGTACAGTACTGTGAACTCAACTAACCAGAAGTGACGGCTGAGAAATCTGTACAGCGTAACGCCCCCTCCCCGCCCCTCCCTCCCTCCCTCAGTAGATGTAGAGGCGGTCTGAGATGGCGGCCGGCATGTGAGTCATGACCTGCATGCGCAGCCACCAGTAGTAGTCCATGGGGTGGTAGCGGGTGTAGGGCGTGGTGGACATCAGGGCGTGGGCGATGCTCTCGATCACGGGGGAGGTGTCCGAGGAGCCGCTGCTGCAGTAGGACTCCATCTTGGCAATCTGCTCGTCAAAGTACTTCCGGCCGTAGTCGCGGCGGACAATCTCGGGCAGCTCGTCCCACATCTTGTCCGCGATGGCCTGGATGCGCTCGGGGCTGTACAGGCTGGTCCCGGCGATGAAGTTCCCGGGCTCCACAATGCAGACCTTCACGTCGTGGGGGCGCATCTCGTAGCGCAGGCAGTCGGAGAAGGCCTCCACCCCAAACTTGGTGATGCAGTAGGGGGAGCGAGCCGGGTTCGCCATCCGGCCCATCATGCTGCTGATGTTCACCACGCGGCCTGGCCGGGGGGGGGAGAACAGGGGGGCAGGGGCCCCCCTGCCGTCCCCCAGGGGGGAGGAGGAGGAGGAGGACAGTCCTCGGCCCTCAACCCAAAGGGAATCCACGTGGGGAGGTTGGCAAGCAGCCCACAGACAGCGCTCCGGGAGCAGAGGAGCGGCCTGACTCTGGGCTTGGAGACGGAGGGGCCGAGGCTCAGTGGGAGGGAGGGAGGGAGGGAGGGAGGGGGGTCTAGTCCACAGCACCAGCGTTCCCTCTAAGCGGAGTGTGAGTGTGAGCTAGCTCACCATTTTTTATCCTCCGGCTCACAGATTCTTGTCTTCGCTCAGGAAGGATGTGGCTCCAGAGTAAACTAATTTATGCAGCAGCCAAATCGCTCACTCACAGATTTAATGCCAGGAGCTCACAAAGTAGAACTTTTGCTCAAGAGACTTTCCCGCAGCTGAGAGGGAGCCTTGCCTGGGACCCTCCGGCAGATGAGAGAGACCTCCCCTTTCAGAATGCCTAATACCGACCTTGGCTGACTGACCAACCAACCAACCAACCAACCAACCAACCAACCAACCAAGGCAGCTTTATCTCTTCCTGGGTACTCGTGTCGCCAAACAAGAGTGTCCTGGGGATTCGTGGGGTGGGGAGGAGCTATCCAGAGCAGTAGGCAGGGTCTGGGCAGGGGCACTCAGGCAGAACGAGAGCTTACTCTGCCGCCCCCCACCCCACCCACCCCGCTCCTGGAGGCAGGTGGCTCACTGCCTAGCCAAGCTGGGCTGGTGTAAGTGACCACGAGCCTCTCCTTCCTTCCTTCCCCTCCCCTCCCCCGGGAGGCTGGTCTGAGGCCTCTGGGCTGCCAGTAGCAGAGCTGCAAGTTGCCGCCCCGTTGCCAGTGGAAGGGCAGGGACTGGGGTGTGGGATGGCGAAAATATTGCTGGCGCCTGCCGCCCCACCACCACCACTAGGCCAAGGAAGGAGACGGCGGGGGCCCTCCCCGCTCCTGCAGAAGGTGGGTCCCAAGCACCCAGGAGACATCCCACCTGCTCCAGCCGGGCTTCTGTGGCTCAGCTGCCGCGCCTTCTCCCTCCATCCCTGGCGCCGGAGGGCGGTGCCGGAGCGAGCCGCGGGCCCTGCTCCCTCCTCCTCTGCCCCTGCCGCCTGGGTGCGCCAGCAATGGCCAGCCCAGGCCAAGCCCTGTGTGCCGCCTGGTGTCGGGGCCCTTCTGGCTCGGGGGCCCACCTCCCCCAGGGGCGGGGAGGGGAGGGGCAAGCTTACCTTTGGATCTGCGGATGAGAGGCAAGAAGGCCTTTGTGGTGCGGATGGTCCCCCACAGGTTCACTTCCGCCACCTCCTTGTAGGTGTCCATGCTGGTGAATTCCACCTCTCCAAAGGTGGAGACCCCGGCATTGTTGACCAGACCCCAGACTCCTGGAGGAGGCGGCAGAGCGGAGGGGAGTCACCCCTGTGGGGGCTGGGGTGGCGTCACCCCAACACTGGCCGCCGGGGGGGGGACTCCTCAGGAACAAGGACAGCCCAGCCGCCCCTCACACCGCCCTGCCCAACTCCACCCCAGCCCCCACCCCTCCCGGGGCCCCCTGTGGGCTGCTCCCCAGGCCAGCCGCTCCTCGTCCTCCCAGGCCGACTCCCCAGGGACAGGTCCTCCGGGCCTACCTTTCTGCGGGTCCTTCAGGCTGGTGGTCACGTAGTCCACCGCACGGGCCACGTCTTCGCTGTCACAGACGTTGAGCTGTACCGTTCTCATCCGGTCGCTCTTCATGCTGTCGAGGTCCTTGGAGCCGCCACGGCCTTGTTCCTAGAAAGGGGAGAGATTTCATTCCGCCGCCAGGAGGCAGGCGGGAACCCACTGAGCTGGCTGGCTGGTTGGCTGCACGAGGCAGCGTCCCGTGGCCATCAGGGCTTCCTGTCCGTGCCATAACCTCCCTCACGGAGGGGCTGTGTGGTTCAGTCCGCACACAGAGGACGCAAGGAACAGCTGCCCTCCTTCCTGGTGCTGGGGACAACACCCCACGTGGCCAGAATCATGGAACAGGTCCTCTAAGGTCAGACACAGATGTACGTGGGGATGGAGAACTCAACATGAGCAGTCAGGGAAGGTGGCACCCCTCCACAAAGCCCCCCCTCCCCCAACCGGAGAGGCATTTCTGGGAACAGAGTCTTCCTAGGCCGGCTAAACTAAGGCCTTAAACCGAAGGGGGGGGGGGACTCAACCCAAAATGTAGCTGCGATCTAAGTAGAGATGTAAAATTTCCAAAAAATTTGAAGCTCGGAAAAAACCTCGTTTTTTCCCCAGAAAAATACAGAAATTTTTGGAAAAATTGAAAAAAATACGTTAGCATTTCTTTTGTCTTTTCTAGATTGAAAGTCATTCTGTTACTTTAGGAACATAAAATATGACTATGGACATTTTTACTTGGCATGAAATTATCACAACTAGCCTATTAAAAATATAGTGTATCCAAACAATTATTACAAACAGAATACCCACCCACATGCAAAAACAAGACTGAAACCTTTTTCTTTTCTTGTGACATTAGCACCTCCTAAAGGAAGAAATGCATCTTGTTCTTGCATTGGAGAGTTCAGTTTGTAACCCAGGACTTGCTTGTCCTCAGTGCACAGAAATTAGATCAATCTAAATTATTTCCAAATTATTTGGAAAATATTTGAACACCTTGTCTTACAATATTTTATTCATCATGTTAAAATAAAACGTTCATAATCAATTTTTTTCTTTTCTTTTCTTTTTTCAATTTTTCGGAAAAAACCAAAAAGGCTTCAGGAAAAAAATGGGAAAAAAACGTTTCCCCCCCCCCCCAATTTTTCCGGTTATTTCCAGACCTTCACGTCTCTAGATCTAAGTAGTAGCTGTGCAAGTTCTCCAACTTGACTACTACCTTTGATGGAAGGTGACACACATCCTGACAAATGGGATATTCCCTACCAGAATAATTTGGAGAACTTGTGCAGTTACTACCTATGGCCTACTATACAAACTTGTAGCAAATGCAAAACATAGAAGAAAGCAACATCTGGTGTGTGTGTGTGTATACACACACACATACATACACACACAAAATTCTTCATGCATGTATTTCTGGATGTGTGTCATTGCAAAATAAAGAATATTGATCACCGAGGAAGGCCCAAAGGGGCCGAAACACGTATGATCCTTAGGTCATAAGTTTTACCCATCAGCTGGACGCGTATAACTATCAGCTTTGATAATATAAGCTTTAAGAGTCTGATATTCAGACTATTTCTTTTAACCATATGTATGTTTTATTTTTGTGTACACCCTAATAAATATTTGTATTTTTTATAGCTTGACCCTCTTAGATCTAAACCAAGGCCTTAGTCGGGGCGGGAACTCAGCCCCAAGCGCTTCCTCTCAAACCCTACTCGCTTGACCTCCAGGCTCCGGGAGAGGTCCGGGGGCCACCCTTCCCCAGCTGCTAGAGTCACACCTGTCCTTGGGGCAGCCGGCTCACCGCTGGCCTCGCCTCCGGCTGCGCCTGGGAAGAGCAACCCCACTTCATTTGGTCCCATTTCAGCTTTGCCAAGAAATGGCGGCACAGGCTGGCCTCCCACGGCTTTTCACAGCTGGCCCCCATTTTTTCCTCCGCACCCCCCCCGTGTGTGTGTGAGGGTGTCCCTTGTGCATCCAATGATGAGCCAGCAGAGGGAGCTCTGAGGAGAAAGAGGGGGCAGGAAACGCGGGGGGGGGGCACCAACTGTAATCTAAGCAGCTCACTTTCTGCATGGCTCCAAGAGTGAGAAGAGCTCTCAAAGGGCCTTGTCGCGGGTGGGAGGGGCAGCCCCTCATCTTTTAAATCGCCTCCTCCCCCCCCCCATCCACCATGCCGGTTGAGGGACTTGTGCACAGACAAGGGGGAGGGGCCGGCTGGACCCGCACAGGAGCCACCCGTTCTCACACACACACACACACACACACACACACCTCCTCCTCAGGAAACCGAGCGCTGCTGCTGCTGCTGCTGCAAGGCCTAAAGCCTCCCCTGGGCAGAGTTGCTCTGCAGAGGCCTGCCCCCCTCCCCCACGCCGGCGCAGCAGAGACCCCGGCCCAGGCAGAGTCAGGCCCCCTGAGGGTCAGAGCGAGAGGCGGCCTTGCGCACCAGCCCTTCTGACCCCCCCCCCCGCGGTCCCAGCACTTGAGGGGGGCCAACTCTGGCTTCAGAAGTCCCTGGAGGCGTTACCCCCCAGCAGCGTTCCCTCTAAGCTGAGTTGGGTGTGAGCTATTGCACCGTTTTTTTTTAGCCTCCAGCTCACAGAGTTTTCTCTTCGGGTTAGAGTGGCTCCAGAGCAAACTGATTTGTGCCGCAGCCAGAAAGAGGGGGCAGGAAACGCGGGGGAGCGACCGCTCACAACTTTAAGGCCAGCAGCTCCCAAAGTAGAATTTTTGCTCACAACACTCCACAGCTTAGAGGGAATTGTTGGTTTTTTGGGGGGGGGGGGAAGAGATGCACAGCAGATATGGATGCCACCAAGGTTGCCCTTCCAAGCTGCCATTTCATCCAGGGAAACCGGGTTCTCTGGCCTGGAGATCAGCTGTGATGCTGGGGAGGACTCCAGGCCCAGGAGAAGCCGAAGAGACAGAAGTCACAGAGGCCAAGGGGCCGCCCCCCCCCCCCCCCCCCTCACGCCCCCCCCCAAAGGCTCCCCCCCCCCCGCTTCC